CTGTGTTCACATACACAACAAAAAGCCTATCATTCCAAAACAATTCACAAGACCACCTGACTAATACAGCAACTTGTGATGGTCACTATATGTACAACCAGCTCATAAACAAATATATATTACTGACAATGACAACTATGCATATGTTGGTAGTTAATTGTATCTTTATACCTTAAAAGGCAATAAAGCTTATGTACACGTGTATATCTCATTGTATAAGGGAGCAAATGAACCAAGATCCTTAGCCTGTGTTGGGCATAAGAGTATGCTGTGACTGAAAAAAGGAAATGGGAAGTGAGGGGAGAGGGATTAATTCAAAGGGAGGAGAGAGGGAGAGAGGCAGGGGGGAGGAGTGAGCAAGGATGATATAAGGAGGAAGGGAAAAAAGTGAGAGGGAGCGGGAGAGAGAGAGGGAGAAGGGTAGAGAGGGAGAGAGAGGGAGAGAGGGAGAAGGGAGACAGGGAGGGGAGGGAAGGGGAAAGGGAGAGAGAGAGGGGAGAGAGAGAGAGAGAGAGAGAGAGAGAGAGAGAGAGAGAGAGAGAGAGAGAGAGAGAGAGAGAGAGAGAGAGAGAGAGAGAGAGAGAGAGGGAGAGGGAGAGGGGAGGGAGAGGAGAGGAGAGGGAGAGGGAGAGGAGAGAGGAGAGGGAGAGGGAGAGGGAGAGGGAGAGAGAGGAGAGGGAGAGAGGGAGAGAGAGAGGGAGAGGGAGAGGAGAGAGAGAGAGAGAGAGAGAGGGAGAGAGAGAGAGGGAGAGAGAGGAGAGAGAGGGAGAGAGAGAGAGGGAGAGGGAGAGAGAGGGAGAGGGAGAGAGAGAGAGAGAGAGAGAGAGAGAGAGAGAGAGAGAGAGAGAGAGAGAGAGAGAGAGAGAGAGAGAGAGAGAGAGAGAGAGAGAGAGAGAGAGAGAGAGAGAGAGAGAGAGAAGAGAGAAAGAGGAGGGAGGGAGGGAGGGAGGAGGGAGAGGGAGGGAAGGAGGGAAGGAAGGTGGGAAGGAGAGCGGGATAGGGAGAAAGAGACAGAAATGTATGTTTTCTTATTATTTTTTACTATCTCTTGTAGCCCGTAGAGAAGTGATGTAAACATTTAAAACTGGGAGAAGGAGACAAATAAAACTTAAGAGACAGGAAGATAAAGAAAGAGAAATAGATAAAAAGACACAAAGGTTAGAGAAATAAAAAAATATATATAATGCATATACATAGCTCTCTCTAATATACAAAGTTGAATACCCTTCATTCTACCAATAAATTAATAAAGAATGAAAAAATAACATCAACTGTATATGCATACACTGTACATATACACATCCAAATGACAAAAAAAAAAATAAAAATAAAAAAAATAAAAGTTGGCTGCACATATAGGTAATCTCAAGACAGGTGGATGGGATCTGGCCATAAGTGTGAGTACTGATCTGAACGTACTGCGAGGAGTAGGTCATGTCCACGTCCAAGTCAGAGAGACGATCGCTGTGACCCCTGCAAATGGACGCCACTCCTTAGCTATTAAACTTCACTCCTACGACACAAGGCCACACATGCAAACAACCAGTGCTGGCAACAGGCCACTGACTCTCGAAAAAGAAACTGTTACACTTCAGAAGGATATTCATGAAAAAATTACTGACAAAAAGAGTAACAATTTTTAGAGGCCTTTTTTCTTTATTTTACTACTCTCACACCTCAAAAAAAAATTCAAGTGCTTTAAAACCTTCAAAAGTAACATAAAATGATTTGAACAAATAAGGAATAGCAATTACAAAGTGCTTGTCCTAATGTTTACTTTATAAATCAATTAATTTAGTTCAAATCACATGGAAATTGAATATATAAAATGCATTTTATCTAAATTATGCTTAATACAGTTAATTCTGTAGTTAACTGATAAAAAACTATTTTTCAATTTCAATATGGTTTCAGAATACTTTTTAAAACCTGGCAACTAAATAAGTTTACTCAATAATTTACATGATATTACTACAAAACACATTTTAAAATCTAAAAAAATGTTCTGCTGAATTCACAAATTTACATCATACAAACATGAAAGTCAACATAATTAATGACACACTAATACATACTACACATCAAATTGGGTAATATTTGTTACTTAAAACAGAAATATCCACAACATGTCCCTTTTAAGATTAGCAGATTTTAACTCTGAAAAGATATCTTTGTGCAGGTGACTATTTCTTACTTGACATAAGCCTGATCATGAATTTTTCTTTTTTATAATTTTCTCTTAAATCTTGTCACCTTTCCCCTACACAAAGATTTGATTTAATATAAAGCCCTTTTTTAATGTTGTTGCTAGCTACTACTGCCAACAAAATAAGAAAATGGATTAAACATCTTAAAACATACACCATTAGGAACATGCTACACAGCATTACTTCAAACTGGTTAGTGAGTCAGAAGACGAGGGTTAAGCAATGGTAAACATAAAAGTTACCAACAAAATACCCCCTTTGTTTCTTTCACTAACATTCAATCTGACTTTAAAATATAAGCACTAAGAATGAACAAAATTATTAAGTATGCCCAGTGCAAAACCCTCATCTTGGGAGTAAACAGTATTATGATTATATATATAAAAAAAATACAACAAATAAATAAAGCTGTGGTGTGCAGATTATTCACTTGACAAAATCTAATTGTATGTTGTTGGTGGGAGTTATGATGTGGCCTTAATACCCACTACAACAGGCTGTTAGTATCACTGCTAAGTGATGGGGAACACAAGGAAGGATGTTAAAAGAAAGATCTTGACTTCAGCATCTTGGTGGTTAACATATCTACTTTTTTGGCATTGAAGACTTTGTACTCCAAGGGAAGATTTGATAATACCAGAAGGAAATGAACAATGAACAACAATAAGTTGAAAATACTTTTAACTCTTCTGAGGAAAGAGGAACACAAGAGCATATGCACAAGAATCCTAAATGAAAGAGAGATTAACACAAAAATGAATAGGACACAACCTTGTTGATGTATGTACCCTATGTTATACAAACACAGAGAGAAATGTAAATGTGCCTTACCCTGTAATTGCAAAGTGTCATGGTATATCTTATTTCTCTATATATTTCCTCCTTATAATCTATTCAGTGCCTGTGCAGTGACGACAAAACACAAGCTTGTGGGTATTCCACAAACAAACAAGCATATGTGCAATAAAAAAGAAAAAAAAAGAAAAAAAAACATGCATGTGGTTGTCTCACACAAATACACACACACATACACACTTCTTCACGCAAAGTAAATAATGCATTTATTTGTAATAAGTGTTTCACTGTCTTTCCTTTGTGGAAACATAATACTGTCCAGTATATAATTTACATTTCCAACAACAAATATGGGTGAAAATAATTCAAATTGTACAAAACAAATAAACCAATAACAGAAAGAAGAGAAAATAAAATAAAAATAAAATGTATGTATGCAATGCCATTTATCATCTAGGTGACATTTACTATAATCTAACTACACATAGTTTTACTGCTAAAAGATCCCAGCTCAGGTTTCCCATTATTCAATTTATTCAGCTCTTATCCCAGTTAAACAAAATTGATAATTTCTCCTCCTTTCACACATCGTGTAAAACAGCTCCAAATGAAATTAATAGAATATAGAAGATATTCATTCTCATTACAATCCCAATCACATAAATTTGATAAGATCCCAAATAATGAGTCAGTTGATTCTTTTATTCAATTCTTAGTTAAAATTATTCTTTACTTTTGTTAATTGCCCTATTTCATAAATGTTTCACAATCCTCTTTAGAAGAGACTGATTACCTAAAATCAAGTTAATAATACTTACTATCATCAATCAAAAACCTCCCAAGCCAGGATATATTGCTCGTACTATGTATCTGATTCTTTTCCATCTTCCCATGTACTAAGCCCCAAAGTTTCTCTAGTCACATTACAAAACTTTTGCATTTATTCTTCACTTATCACACTCTTGGAAACTGAGTTATCTTTGCTGAAAATAAATGCTTCCATACTTCTTAAAAAAAAAGATAAAATGACAAAACTGATCTTCTGTCTGTCTATGTAACACAAAACCATTCCCAACAATTTGTTTTAAAAAGAAGTAATTCTAACCTTCCCTTCATTGAAAAAAATGTAACTAGAAAATGAAGTTTTCTTATAATTTACAGAAATACAAACAATGCAGGGATCTTTTACTTATTCTCTGCACATTTATACGAACTAAGTACATTAACAAATAACACGAAATCAACAGTCAAAATGAGTTATCAAAACCTACTGTAATATAGAAATTTTTACCATAAGGTTAGGGGTTGTATGCAATATTTCCTGGAAATAAAATGACACCCACAAACATCCACTGATATAACAGATCAATGGAGGATTTCTTATCCCTTAATCCATTGCCACCAGGTGACTGCAGTATCCACTGTAGTTGCTTTGTGAACTTTTACACACAAATGGCTCCATAAATAATTATCCCTTCTATTTTTCCAAATTCTTTTCACATAATTATTGTTATTACCACCATTATTGACAGCATTACTGATATCATAATAGTTATCAATACTTAAGCCAATGAGAAATGAAAAAACAAAAAATCTCCAAATTTCAAGGAAATGGGTAAACAGGTGAAATCAAGTAGGGCTAGTATCTGACACTTGGTGGCTAGGCCCTGGTGGAGTCATTTATGTATAAGCAATATTAATAAATCAAAATAATATTGGACATGGTATGTATGCACATGCCATCCCAGCATCAATGGGCTAATAGCTATCAAACTCAACAGTATCAAAACTAGGTGGCGAACTAGGAGAAATACTAAAGAAGATGCCTGCACAAAATGTTTTTCCAATAATCGAATGCCAAAGGCATTTCATATCTGACAGCACTTCAACCCTCCATGGCTACATGAATGTCTTTCACCACCCAAAGAAATATAAGGCAAGTAAAACATACTTTTAGCCCCTACGATCCGGATGACATGACCATCAAGTCATAAAATATTAGGCTTATGGAGATAGTGATGTGAACATACCATCATGGGAATATCTGGCTGTGGACTGGGGGATGCAAACTTGCAATTGTGAGAATTTCAGCTGAAGGCTAGGGTGCTGGGAAAGACTTGCCACAAGTGCACAAACCTCTTAGAGGGTAATTAGACTCATTTGGCATTTAGAAATGGGCTTTTGCATTATTCCCATCGTTAAACATATTTGGAATGCAGTGTCCATGACCCATGACTGGAAGAGCACTGGCTCCAAGGAGGACACTATTTCTATGCTCGGCATCCTATTCCTGGCTGCCATGACTGGCAATGCAGGCTGTATTACAGAAAATTGATTATCATATAAAAAAGTTACTAACTGTTATTATTCTTGCATGGAGTTATGGACTACCTAGTGAGATGATATAGAGCATGTGCAAGAAAAACAGTCCATTTGGATTAAGCAAATCAAATGACAAATATGGACAGCAGATGGCAAAAGAGCTAAAAACACTTATACATAATAAGAGACAACATTGCAAAAGGGGGGCATGGAGTCTTATCACTGCACACAAGTGTTCCTTTGCGCCCAGCCTATAAACCACACATCCGTCAGAGCAGCTGCTCTCACATGAGCCTAATGCCCTTATTTTGGGCCAGGTGATCGCCATAAGCACTCGGATACAAAGGGTTCATTCAAGGAAAATATATATATATATATATATATATATATATATATATATATATATATATATATATATATATATATGTATATATATATATATAATATATATATATATATATATTATATATATATATATATATATATGTATATATATATATATATATATATTATATATATATATATATATATATATATATATATATATATATATATATATATATATATATATATATATATATATATATATGTATGTATATACATACATACATATAAGTAAAATCCTTTATCTATCTACCAAGTACATACACACATACAAGCACATACATGTGTTTAATGTAAGAAGATAATAATGAGTGACTGTGTTAAAACCAAAACCAACTTGACTCCAAGGAACAGACAGATTCATCCCTATCAAAGGATCCTCACTATAAGCTTTTGCATATCATCTACAATGAATATGAAGAATAGGTTATTCATTCCTACCAAGATACCTTCCATCATCCAACTGATGATTAATTAATACATAACAAATTTTGACATATGAGAGAAATTCTTACTTTATAAATATTGCCTGTTATGAGAACTGTCTTGAGTCTGTGTTAGATCACCTAGAATGATTCAGGAGCCCTACATACATTTTTAACCTATGTTCCCTATCTATCAATCAATTTTAATATAATTATGCAATGTGTCTCATTTAGTGTCTGTCTGAAAACCAGCAAAATTTATCTTCCTTAATATGTATTTTTGTTTGAAGCAGTTATGTATAGCAACTTTATTTTCTAGAAACAATTTGGCTACTATAAT